GCAATTGACCGCTTATTTGTAAGGAGGTAATTGGAACTGTTATTGGTAGTCTATGAAATGTTCTTGGAATTCTGAATAGAGTTAGAATAAGGGTATGACTTGGGACCTCTGTCCCAGGGAACTGCATAGTCGAGGTAGGTGGAGCTTGAGATTTGTGACTTTAGCACTGATTTTGTAAGGCATGGCCTAATTTTCATTTTCTTCTTTTATTTGTAATTTATTTACATAAATGACAAGATAAACCTTCTCATGCTGTTATCTATTTGCAGAGACACTTGTTCATTCTACACTGGAGCATTGTGATGATGCACACTTCACATTTACAGTCTTTTTCAACATGAAGGAGCATACTGTGTATGTAAAACAGAGGCCTCACCTCCATACATTCCTGGAGAAAGTGGCAGAGATGTTTGAAGTTGTTATCTTCACAGCTAGTCAGAGCATTTATGCTGCACAGCTTTTGGATATACTGGATCCAGATGGAAAGTTCATATCTCGGCGAGTTTATCGTGAATCATGCATTTTCTCAGATGGCAGCTACACTAAAGATTTGACAGTTTTAGGTGTTGATCTTGCAAAAGTTGCTATAATTGATAATTCTCCACAGGTATTTTACTTGCCAATCTGGTCATGAGCTTCTCCCTTAACCAGCCTTGTTATTTCCTGTCGTCTTATATCAGTCTTACCCTCTCTCTTATCCCTTGGTTAATAATTTCTCTGAGTGAATTTTAACTATTATTGGTTACCCAGTTAGATTATGCTTGTTTGGACCTACCAGTCTGTTCACAGTTAGGTAACACATGAATTGTTAAAATAGATCTTCCTAGTAGATATACTTCTGGTTTTTTAAACATCTTTCTCCTTTGTTGATTTCAGGTATTCAGGTTGCAAGTTAATAATGGAATTCCTATTAAGAGTTGGTTTGATGATCCATCAGATAATGCACTAATTTCCTTACTTCCTTTCTTAGAGACTCTGGTTGATGCTGATGATGTCCGTCCCATCATTGCAAAGAGATTTGGTAACAAGGAATAAGAGACCCTTGTTTTTCCTCCATAGCTTGAATTAGCTCCTTCTTCCTCCTTTTACATTTAAGCAAAATTGGCCTCTAATTTAGATGCGCAGTTTTCTTTATCTTAAATCTCTAAGATAATTAACTATCAAATAAACTGCAATAGTCCTATTTTGAGTCAGCCCTTTGTGTTTGTGCTCTTTCCTTTCTCTTCTCAGCTGACAACCTTGTGGAGTGCTCTTATCTGATTTTTTTTTTTTCCTGAAAGGTAGTCATAGAGAATGTCACAGTTTATTCTTACTGTACAGTTGGAGTTGCAATACTTGAGGGGGTGTATATGAATTATTATCTTGTGAAATATAAAATTCAGACTCTTAGTTGCCTTTGTATCTGTTCTTTTTTCCCTTCCCCTTCCTTCTCTTTTTTAGTTGAAATCATAGTTTTAGCTTGTTTCTATTTAGACCATGAAACATTAAAAATTCTTTATGCTCGTACTATGTTTTATGGACTAAAATTTTAGGATTTTGTTCAGCTGCTTCTCTATCTTAATATGTTTCTGGGGCTTTTGTCAGTGTAATTGCTAGGATTTGCAGAAAAGAAGTATTATAGTGTAACTGTCAGGGATCAACGCCTGTAATATTACATTTTGTGATTAGATAGTCTATAGAATGTTTTTTTTCCCTGAGCATAGATAGTTTATAGATTTTTTTAGAGTACATAGCTTGTAGAATGTTGAAGGGAAAATGTAACAGACAAATGGTTATTGGGGAAATTATGATGAATACTTTTTTCTTGGTACGCTGAATACAGAAGGGATAAAAGAAAAATTTGTTCTTAAAATTATCACTACAAACTTCAATTGAATGGGTACTAAAGGTTTGTCAACATTGTTTGAGGTGAAAACTCAAATTTATAAACAATTATTTTTGTCAATTTGGAACATATTCATAATACTACGAGTATTAACAATATTTTACCGATTTTATATAATTATATACTGATTAATTGGTAGCACTATCTCTAAGCTTAGATTATGCTAAATAAAAGATATAGATTTCCTAAATGCTTAGTAAAAACAATTGTATGATATATAAATGGTAACATTTAGTCAGTGTTTGTAATAAATCAACATTTTTGTTGTGGAAGTTTGTAGATTTACACAGTTTTAACTGGGAATGATGAATTTAACCTCTACTTGGATTTTTTAGGATGTCATCATATATATATATATACATATATTCCATTTTAGAAGAAATTTTTCCTAAATAAACATTTTTTATTTAACCCACAATGAATCTGTAATTGAAATTAAGATAATTGGGATAAAGAAAAGGAATTCATTAAAATGCTATAAGAGGCCTATTTATAGATGTAGACTATCTAAGCTTTAAAAGCTTGTTGTTTTATTTCTGAATTGAATGCTTTACAACTGAGTACTGAGGCCTATTTATAGATGCAGACCTTGAATTTCCTTAAAGGTAGAGGACTTTTAAATGATCAGTGATTCCTTACTACAATGCTTATCTTGGACGCTTAAAGATCATAAGTTACACATGATAAAATAAGGACTTGTTACGTTCCTTGATTAAGGATCAAGTCACCGAATGGTTACCAACAAAATCGTTTTCAAGTAAGGGATTAACACCCTTGTTTTAATTACGTGACCAACCTATTTTTGGTAAGAGATTATAGCTCATCATAGGGAGCTGCTACTTTAGACCTCGTTTGAGAGAACTCAAATTTTGTAGTTTGAGATAAATTTTAAATTTTTTTTATTACTAGCAAGTATACCCCTTTAAATAAAGATTACAATTCTTATTTAAAAATCTTAATCTAATTAGAAGTGTAATTCTAATTATGAATATTCTATTAAAATATTATAAATCTTATACTATTTATGAATCCAATATTAATGGAAAATCATATACTATTTAAAAACCTAATACTAATTAAGATTCTATTTTTATTATTTGAAAATTGAATACTAATGAGAAATCATATATTATTTAAGAATGTAGTACTAATTAGGGTTTTATATTTAATTGAACTTCAATTTTTTATTATTTAGAAATCTAATACTAATTAGGATTCCATGTTTAGTTGAATTTCAACCTTCTATTTAGTCATTACGTTGTTTCTTGTCGCGCATTCCATATTTACGTCCTATAAATGCGTCCATAACATTATTCCCCTCACAACTTCAAGGTTATCCTCGAACTTGAAATGTGGATATAGCTGGCTCATCGTTTTTCTTTTTTGTTGATTAGAACTAGTGTCATATAGTATCTCGAGTCAGAACAACCGTTTACATTGGTGATCTGGAACCAACGGCTTATCGCGGTTATAACACAACTCTTTCAGCCTCTTTTTTGTCATATCTACTTTTATTAGTTTCTTTATAAATGGAGAGGAA